AGTTGGCCCGCCAGACCATTTCAGTTGGCCCGCCAAACATTGCCCACCTCCGCTATAAGTTTCTATCTGCGTCCCTCAGCCTCGCTGAATTAAGAGACATATTTCAGGTCGCGCGGGCGCTTAGTCGCCCTCTGAATTCCGACTGTCCAGTACTTAACTGTTGTATCGAGATACACTCCTCACTCATGGTTCACATCAACTTGCACTAAAATGTTTTTTAAAATCAAACACATCTTTCAAAACAATTGGGTGCAAGGCCCCTTTATGTTATTTTTTTTCAGCCTACTATTATTATTTTTTGGAGCTATTTAATGTTTTATCAAATTGAGAGGATTGTGCTGGCGAACTGCCACTCCCCCTCCTCACCGGAGGGAAATGGCGAGTGGAACTATTCACCTGCGCAATCCGCACCCACCCGGTGTGTTAAAAAGGACGGACACAAACACTTCAGAGTGAGTTCAAGCCATGGATCTATTATAATAACTGGATAGGGTATTACTAGCTTGTAGCTGAATAACTCATGTGCTCGGGGGATTCTCGCGGTACTGCAGACTGAACCAGACTAAATTCACGTGGGCTACCCAGAAATTTTCCCCATAGAACTCAATGCATATTAAAACAGCTCGACCTCAGCTGACAGAGAACCTACAGCTTTAATAAAGGTTGGATTTTGTGGGGATTTTAGTGTCCCTTGTCATCCTGAACTTTTTTTCTTCTTAAATCCTTCGGTTTTGTTTAAATCCACACTTTAGTGCCACAAACTCTGCTCGTCTGGCTCTCGCTCTAACTCTGTGCACGTGCGTGAGACCCGGTGTGAGACCCACACACGCGTGTTTGGCGCAACGCATTATGGGAGATCATCCACTGCGCAGAACCGGGAGGACCAGACGAGGCCCAAATACAGGAGAGTTTCCCATAGATCTTTGCGAGTTTCAGGCAACTTCCGCTAATCTTTCAGCCCCCATGCCGTCACAAAGCGCCACTGAGCACAACCATTCATTTGAATAGGGCGCCATCTTGGATCGCCGGGGCTTGGTTCAAGCAGGACAAGTAGGGATCGCAGCGCACGATCCACGTAAGTAGAAGCAACAAATACTGTGCAAGACAAACCCTTCTACAACCCCATGAAAGAAGCCGGTAAGCGCCGTCCTCACTCGCGATCAGTGAATGTCAGAACTTACGCGGAGTTTTATGATGCGTTCAAGAGCCCTTTGGAGGAGCGGAAACTCGGACTCTTTAACAGTTACTTTGTTTTGATTGTTTATAAATGTTGTACTGTGTTTAGCCATAACAAAACAAAACTCCAGGAACAAATCATGGTTAACTAGTCTGATTTCGTTAGTTTAATATTCAGTTCACTACTAATTGAGAATACTTGTCCTATGTTAAAACAGAGTTAAAACCTGATCATGTTTAGAAAATGCAGTTAGTAATTATGTTCCCAAATTCATTACTTAATGTTAAAATGTATTGTTTAAAAGTGTGCTAAAACCAGATCTATTGATCAGTGATGTCTCCCCTTTTTGATAAAAGCTAAGATAAAGTAATATGATTCAAATGTAGTTAAAAACTTTTGTTCAAAATAAATATATGAAAATAGACTTGGAAATTGCTTTGGCTCAGTGCAACAGAGATAATAAAAATAAAGAATAAAAAACACTTCTAAGGAATAAATTTAAATTTAAAATAGAGTTACAGTTACTATTTACAATATACAAGTGCACATGGTGCACACAAAATGTATGTTTCTGTTCTCTTTTTGAGGTTTTATTATATGATTTTAACCTTTAAATCTCCCTCCTCTGGACCCTGATTACCCGGCCGGAATCTTTCCGTACTGTAGTCTCCTCAAACCTGCATATTTCCCTGGAGCCTCCACTTCCCTAAGACTGTGTTGATTTCATTCATTCATCTGTGATTTGCACTGATAGACAATAATTAATGCATTTAAAAGAACTTGATCAAATCTACATTTATTTGTGTTTCATCCATAATATTGGTGTATTTGGCCCGCGGCCCACTGGCAAATTTTTACTTTGGCCCTTGGAAGCAAAAGGTTTGGGCACCCCTGTCTTAAGGCTTTCTGAAGGATCCGCCACAGTTTGACCCTTTTCTCTAAATGTCCTGTATCATCTGTTTTGTATTCAAGCCCTAGTTCCTCTTTGAATGTGTTTTTGACTTGATGTATTTATTGTATCAGACATTTGACACTGGTTAAACTGATCTAATGAGACATAGTCCTCCAGCGTGTGCACAAAGTTGGTATGAAGTTACTTTCAGGATAAACAGCAAATGACACAATTGGACACATATTGGAAATGCTCTGGTCAGAGGCAGAAAACTGGTATTTTCATTCCCCGTTGTTTTCCTGAAGCTGGGGGTAGGCAGGCATAGAGATCGATATTATAAATGAAAAAACTGTATTTTCAAGGGTTTACTTCAGCACTGAAGTGACAAAAGAATGCCCAAGGAAAAAAATATTTATAGCGTTGAAAGAAGATGAAACAAATAGTCCTCCATCTTCCTTCATAAATCTCTGGAAAAACTCGACTCCTCCAATAATCGTCATCTAAACATTATGTCTCCATAGCAACAGGTCATCATGTTTGTCACATAGCGGTAGTGTGTGTGTGTGTGTGTGTGGGTGTGTGTGTGTACGTATGTGTGTGCGTGTGTTCGTATGTCTGTGTGTGTGTGTGTGTGTGTGTGCGTACATACAGAGGGAGAGCATAAATCTGGTTTGAAGCAGATAACTAGCCGCTGCTTCTCGGCCTCAGAATGTTTCCAGTAACGCGTGTGTGATGTTTGCCAGTTACAACAGTGCAGTCACCGGCCCCAGACTTCTGCAGACAGAAAATAGCCATGTGATTCATTGCCATTTTCAAGACCGCTGACAAACAATCGGAAGAACTTCGCCACATTAATGAATACACCACAGATATAGCGTTTTGCTTGTTAGCTCCCCCTATAGTCTGACTGTGGTCATGTCCCCAGCTGTTCAAATGTTGTTCCTTCAAAGATGTATGAGACCAGGAGGGTAAAACTACACTCCATCTGCCACTGGCAAAAGGGCTAATCCCTAATAACAGACTCAAATGTACATCTGCTTCATTTGAACGGATTATTCATTCTCTTTCAGCACCATTAGTTGATTAAGTAGTGATAATACTAGAGATTATGGGTTTGCAGTATGTGTGATATTGAAGTGATAGTGCTGCATGCATGATCTGATATCACCAAGTTAATACAGGCCAGGATCAATGTCAAAGTTGTTTGCCCAGGATCGATGTTTCATTGGGTTAGGTTTAGAATAGGTTTAAGGGTTTGGGGTTACAGGTTACAGGTTATGGCTATGGTTAAGGTTGAGGTTAGAGCTAGGGTTAAGGTTAGATCTAGGGTTCACTGTGTTAGGGTGAGGGTTAGGGTTAGTGCATATTTATTAATGCATATTTACTGTGAAGATAATAAATAATTAAATAATAAAAAATAAAAAAATAGACATAAATGTTCTATATATTTCATGTTAAATGTAGAGTGGCCAACTTTCCTGGTGCTGGGTCTGCTTTTTGCTCGGGTCCGTCTAAGGTAGTTTCATCTGGAATATTCCACTGTTTGGCACATCATCATATCGATAGCAAATAATCTCACATAAACAAAATTAAAATAAGTATGTTTTCCCCTGAAATAATGTTTTCAGTCATCATTATTGTATATCATTGAGTCTGACCTTTCAAATGATGTTTCTCTTTATAATTATAATTTTAGTTTTAATTTACCACATTTATTAGCACATTTCAAATATTACAACCGGATCATAGTCGTTCATGTGTTCAATCTCTGACCGAGATTCTAAACATGATTGCACCGTACGTGATGTTCCTTTGCTGTTATATAAGTCGGTTTAGATTGAAAGGCCCATGTAATGTTACTGTATATAAACCAGGTTACAGGCTGTGATATGAGATAAAGCCATAAATAATCCTCTCTGTGTGTACATCCCCTCTCCCCGTTCCATGGAGGTAGATTAAGAGCCGTACTCTGGGCCTTCTTTTGAAACGCGTGTTGCTTTGAATAGGATTTTTGTGCTTAAATTGCGCACACTTTTTCCCTAAAGGCATGAAAAGTACCAGTGTGGCTCTGCACGGTGCTGTGACCCCAGATATTAGCTTTCCCTCCATGTGTGACGGAGGCCAACTGCCCACAACAAATACAGTCACACACCAGCTCCTGCGCGCTGTGCCGGGGCGCACGCTCCTTTCAATTGGCCGCCGCTGACCTTCCAGCAAACCAAGTTGGGTAATGGCATATTTTAGTGGTGCTTTGTAAAATCACAGACTTTGATGAAGTGCATGTGTCGTGTACAAAAGAAGCGTGATGTTTACGATGATGCAGTGAGGTTGCTTCACGTGAATATTGTAAAATCTGTTAAAACGGAAAACCAGGTCGTGTTTCATGTTGGTAAATACGATATGTTGAAAGAATCCTTCTCAGGGAAATCATTTGGAAAGGATTGGAATCTAAACTGTAATATATTGTGTAGGGTTGTTGTGCTTTGCAGTAGTTGAATAATGTTCGAAATAAGAAGAAATAAGATTCCCAGGTAGAGAAAATGCACAAATATGTGTATCATAAATGAAAATATGAAATAGTTAACAAAATGTTTGCCTGTGTTTTTATTATTATAGCATTGTCTTTCTTATAAAACAATTAGCATCTTTTCTAGGATCTGTAACTGGGTAAAAAATCTGATTATTTAAAGCTGAAGTACCTACAAATCCATGCAACTGCTTTCAAAACGGTTTGGTTCCATATCTAGCACTCACTCAGCCAATCAGGTCTCAATATGTAAAAGATCAAACGTTTTCAAAATATACATGTAGGTACTCCAGTTTTAAAGGTCACAGCTGTAATATTGTGTCCAAAATGTGGAGCAATATTGTGACTTTTTATGTGAAGATCAAATTTGGAAACTGGACTCTATCTACGAGGTGTGCTGTGAGATGTGTGGTGCAAAATTCTTTCGGTATGATTTTAAAAATATCACCAATTGTATTTCTGCCTACAATAACGGCCCCCTTTTATAATGATGTTGTCAAATAGCACAGGATCCAGAAAAACCTCTTCTCGACAGTGGCCCGACATGGCAGAGCTCATTTACATGTGTTGGATCATGTGGCTAATTTGTCTTCTTGATTCATGAGTGTCCGGCTGCCAAAGTGACTAATAGTGCAGATAAACCAGACCCTCAGTGCACTTAACCTACAGAGGGCCACTAAATGAAATTAACATGAGGATTATTTGAACAAAAAAAAGTTGATATTTGTGCCAAGTTGTGTAGCCAGAGCAGAGACAGCGTTGATATAATCAGTTCCATCTTGACTACATTTGCTGTGATTGTCCTTATCTCTGGGATGTTACGCTCAAATCTGCAGATAAAAGTCCTTCTCGACAAGCTAAAGAAGTGTCCATGTGGCTACCGCTGCTGCTGCTGCTGACTTATTTCTTGTTTCAAATCTATCCTTTCCTCACTTTTCTTCCTTTCCGTTTTCCATTTCTCCTCTTCAGTAAAACCATCAATGTGAGAGTAATCGACGATGAGGAGTACGAGAAGAACAAAACCTTCTACCTAGAGATCGGAGAGCCACGGCTGGTGGAGAGCAACGACAAAGGTGGGAGGTTCTGGGTCAGACTTTTGACCGATTGAACTTCATGCCATCATTCAGAAAGGTTGCATGCTTACAGAGATATAGGGCGGCCTCTGCTCCGTCCTATATCTCACCAAACATGCAACGGGTTCACCTCATCACGCCACATCCGCCAGAGCGCATGAGCGAGTGTTTGCGTATTCTGTGTATTTGTTACATTTCCATATCGTTGGTTGACTTTTGCATGTTTGTATGTGTCCATGCGTGTGTGTCCCATACAGGAAGAGCATAACCGTTAGGATCTTAGACCGGGAGGAGTACAATAAGCTGTCGTCATTCTACGTCCTCCTCGGAGCGCCGCAGTGGAGACGCAGCGAGAAGGAGCGGACAGGTGTGAGCAGTGTGCGCACGTCCAGTCACAAATCAGCAAGAGCCAAATTACCGATAAGAAAACATCACATATTTTGTTAAGTTCATTGGAGAGGTCTTGGAAAGGTCTATGTGAACCAGCAAAGATATTACTTTATGTGGCTGTGTAAATCCAATGTATGATTCAATCCAATTAACTTTATTTTTAAAACACGTTTCCAAATTACTCCACAGATACAGGTAATACATCAGAATATACAAGTATACCAGATTGAATTAAAAACTATCATCTATAAACATAAATGTAAATAAAAACAATAAAATAGAGATTGTGATTTAAAGCTGCGGTTTCCAACTTTAAGACCACAAAGAGAGAACAATGTAACTACATCCATCAAGCTTGTTCCTTGCTTTCAAAACATTGTGGTTCTATAGTTTTCACACACACGTATTATTTGACTTCTTTTTTGGCCTCTCATCTTTAGATCAGATTTTTTGGACAGAAATGTGAAAAAAGAGGACCGGTCGTACTCTGCTCTCAGCCCAAAGAGTCAAACCGGGACTCACAGGGCTCTTACAAGTACAAATATGTCACTTTTATATGACACTTTCTATTGAGAGATACAAAATGTGTAATAAAAAAAATAAAAAAAATAAGGTCAGAACCTCAGCTTTAGTTCATCTACATGATATGTATTTTCAAAACAAATCCCTTTGATTAAAGATGTTATCATTAAGTCGATTTGGACAGTTTTGAAGACATTTTAGATAGTGACCGAGCAGCCCTGTCAAATATCATACAAAAACATCATTCATCTTTATTGTTCATTATGAATTTCTGCTTTGAACAAATTATTGTAAAATTGAAAGTGTGCACTTGCTGATTTGGGACATTGAACTCTGGGGTTAACAGCTTGAGACTTTGTGGTGCTGTGGCTCAATTTCCTTTCCTTTCCGCTTCTCCGGAGGTTTGGTCCAAAAACTCAGCAGGAGCCACACCTGTCTCCTTTGTCTCCTTCACCTTTCTCCTCATCTGCTGCTTTGTTTCACTCACTGCACACGTGTCGCATGAATCACACGTGTGCGCACAAACACACATATTTACATACTGATCTTCAGGAACTGCAGGTTGAAATGTAAATAATTGGTGACCTATAATATATGCTGCTGGCACAGATGTTTTCATTAGCATGTAGCATATGTGCGCTGCTCATTACCATTTCACCTTTAATGTAAGAGAAAGAATCTGCAAATTATGGAACATGATGTTCCTTCTACCTCAATGTGTATCTGGTTGAACCCATCCCTGGTACAAGTCGTCCTTATAAAATATGAAAATGTATTTAGGAGAGGTTTTGGTATTATTATCACTGTGTAATTAGGTATTTTACCCTGCCTTCTGTGGGAAAACAATTTGTGTGAGTGAATTATCATGTAACTTTAAATATATCTGCCCAGACAATCTTCAAACAAGATGGCACGGCTCAGACACCGACAGAACCGCTTGAGTTTGAAGGACAAATGTATTGGTTCCTTGATTGTTGACTTGTTGACATTCCATGTGAAAAATAATTTACCAATCTATCTATCTACCTTGGGTGAGAAAAATACTGATTGACTCTATAACTATAATAATTCCTGTATACCAACATATAAGTGAGAGTGTAAGAATGTTATATAGAATCTCATCAGAATGTCAGTATTCACATCTTTGGCCTTACGCTGTGAATAAACAATGTAATTATAATTGTATTAAATACATACACATTATAACTTTGCAAAGTAAGGCATCCATAAAACATATTAACAAGAAAAGCGCTCGAAGAGCAAAGACCAGATCGCCTCCAAAATGTGTGCCTTGCCCTATTGATAAGGCTTCCTGAAGACCAGAACTTAATGAGTTACAAACGATCAGTAATTTAGGGACAAATAACCCTTGGTAATTACATAACCCCCTGGTTATGTAATCACCCCCTTGGAGGTTTACAGAAACCTACTGTAGACCTTCTACATAATATAGACAATTAGACATAGACAAGTTTTTGAAGTGATATAAATATTTCTACAATATATTTACCAAGTTGCCATAGAGTAAATTACCCTTCAAGGGGAGACTGTTTTCGGCCAAACTCTAAATTGTAAATATCAAAACAAGTATTCAGACAGCTTGGTCTTTTGTGCTAATAGGCTAACAATCCATTGGCAGTGGCGTGGCTGTTCTCTCTGCCTCCTCCACACCACTGTGCTAATAGCCCTGTGTGTTTACTAGGCCACACAGTGATGTTAGTGATGAGCGGATCAAAGACAGAGGCTGGATATGGCATTATCACAGTCAGGATCAAACCTCCGGGACACACAAGCACACAAACAAAATGTGTTGCCAGTGATGAGAATCTTTGATGAAGTCAGCCAGCATGTTCATATAGCTCCAGCCCAAAGCTCTATGTGGCTAATGTGTGTAAGAGATGTACATACTGAGCAGAATGCCTAAACGGGAGAGTTACGTCTAGACTCCAGTATCTGCGGGGCACTGGGACCATCTGCTGTTCTAGTGTACTTTAGTGGAAACGGCAGCAGTCAAGATGTTCACTAGAATTATGAATTGTTGGTTTAAGGGCAATGGTGAACAATTGTAAAGATTGTTCATGTGCAAAATCTCTTTCTTGGGAATGGAATACAGAAAGGTCTCTTTATTAGAGTTGTCAGAACATGCATCAAAATATTTCTATCAGTGCATAAGTAATCGCAGGAGGGGAGAAAAAGTGCAAAGATATGAACGAGATGGTGGGAAACAGCAAGACACGGTGACTCTATCTTTGCAAACATCAAATTAAATGCCAAAAATACATCAGAGCAGTGAACAAACAATCTCACTATTCAATGATCAGACATTTGTCTATTTGATATGATTCATTTCCCGTCACTGTTTTCATATTATTACGTGTCAAGATATGGGTGATAACATGGAAATGGGACTGGATGAAAAGAGTGAAGAAGGAATTGCTGTTAGTAAAAGCTATTTGTAAAACCATTTTTCGTCGTGAAGATTACTTTCCTGTTGTTTCTCCCATCAGAAAGTAACATGTTGTGAATAAATCATACCACAAAAAAAAATGTTATCTTTTGTAAAAAAGTTATGCAAAAATTATGCAGTTAAGAAATGATCTTACATAGGTCCATTTAATGTGATTTGAAAGATAGATATCGCATCTTTAAAAGAAGGAAACTGATTGGCTGTTTCAAGTGCCACTCACACCTGTATTATTTTTATAGATCCAAACAAAAGCCTAATTGTGTCAGACAAGTTTTATTGCAGACTGACTTTTATGACGTCCTGTAATTTGGACATGTCCGAGGAAAAAACCATGGTCCAGCGAGGGTCCAGTGCTGCCCCTAGACCAGTGCCAGTCAGAGGGGTGAGGGAAAAGAGCTCAGAGGAAAAACAGCTGAAAAACACAGCCTGCGGAGTGGGATGACCCTGTGCTCTTACAATGGACATATACTCCACATGCAAGGCCCCAAAACGACTAGACTAGAATATAGTATATGTGACAGCTTGTCTTAAAGGCTTGTCCTTGGAAACCCACTCTACACATGTTAAATTATGTAATAGCACCAAGCTACATACTACCATTAGTCATAAATTAATTAATGCAGCTAACTGACATCCGGCTGATTGCCTTTGTTGTGCATTAATGCAAAACATGCATAGGTTAGTCTAATTAGCTCGAGCCACAAATCGATGTCAGCATAATGAATTTGAGTCCTCAGTGGAATCCATGCCCGTCGGGACTGTTATTAGATTATTTCAAGCATGTTAGTATTCTGATAATGCATCGGTTTTATATAGCGCTTTTTGGACACTCAAAGACGCTTCACATGTCATTATTCACTCCATACACGGTGGTGATAAACTACTACTGTAGCCACAGCTGCCCTGGGGCACACTGACAGAAGCGAGGCAACCAACATGTGCCATCGGCCCCTTCGACCACCACCAACCATTCACACACACCAGACTCATTCTACGTAAATGTATGGAGTGAAAATGGTCATAATTGATTTTATTTCATACTCTTTTCAAGACACCCAAGGACGCCTTACAATATATTAAAAACCTCAAACACATTATTAATAGTACAGAATGGAATACATTTAAAAATGACACCGTTCAAAAGGTAGGTTAGATTTGACTTGAAAATGTCCAAAGAGTCTAAGTGTCACAGGCTAAGTGGTGGACTGTTCTATAGTTTGATTTTGTTCGGGTGATGATCCTAGCAGACATGTTGGCTTCAGTCTATTCATGAATCATGGACTGACAGACATAGAATAAACTAATTCAAACAGACAATATCAAATTATTACTTTTTCTTAGATATTACCAATGTCATTCCTACTTGGCTACTTAGAAAGGAACATTAAAATATTCCACTTGGCTCTTTGTACTTCATATATCATCAATTTGACATCCTGAGGATTTATTACGCTGTCAAACTTGAACTTGCTTCCGACAATATATCCTATGACTTTGAACTTTTTGACAAACGGCTCTCCCTTTTGCAGTGGTAAAACCTACTTTATTCACTTACGCAGCCAAAAACCATAAAATTTGACAAAGTGTACTTCCTACTTTCAGATGTTCTCTACATTTTTGCCACATATTGTGAGCCAAAGTCCTGTTCTTCTAGCTACTGTCTATCTTGTCATCCTCAATGGCTCCGGTGCAGTTCAGGGCCCCTATCAGAGCAGGACAGGGTGTGCGGGAATGGAGAACAGCTGTCGGCGCACATCAGTCCCAAAGACGGATGAAACTTCTGCAAGCTTCAATATGTCTCTCATACGTGACAATGCCATCACCTTATGCTTAACCCTATGGACTACAAAACCTAATGTATTCTGGTGGACCGTCCATGTGTCCATATGCCACCCTCTGCACACTTGAAACAGTTCCAGCAGCATTAACATTGGAAACATAAACTTATACACCCACAGAAACACAGGGAGACATATTTCTCTCTTGTGTACTAATATACTGTAGGCAAGGCAAGTTTGTAATTTATTCTTCCATTTAGCTTTCTAAGAGGTTGAGCAGCTTCTTCATTTGAGCATTGAGTTGATAGTGAAAAATTCAAGTTCAAACAATTTCATGGATGTTTATTAACACTTTAGGCAGAATTGCTACATCTCTGCATGAGTCTAAATGTGTATGTAGAAACCTGGCCTCCAAGCAGTTCGCAAAAAATGCTTTGATATTTTTCTTGTATTTTTTCTTCTGTTCAGTTTGAGGCGGTCCTCCTTGTTGACTGCTTCACATCAAATGTATAGAAAATATTATATAAAGAACAATATAGCACCTAAAGAGTGAAGCTTTGTATTCAATTTTGACAGAGTTGAAGTGAAGAAAAAAAAACGGCCAGTTCATATGACCAAGGAAAGATACCATAAGATACAGATTTAGGCGTGAGATGTGTCACAGTCCACCACCTTACTTTTAACTTGATTAAACAGATTTTATCTCAATGTAGGACAAAGCAGCCACTAGCCCTGTCTGCGTATGGAAGAAAACTAAAATGAGAGATATGAATAGTGGCATTGTCAGATCAAAAGACATTGTGTAAAAATCAAAGAAACTTGGAAATGGTTCTGTAACTGTCAAAGCGAAGAAAAGTGTATTAGTCATCGAATGAAAGTACTTTTTGTCAATCATGCACTCGTGAAACATGTAAATGAGCAAGAATCTGTGAGTTCTCTGCAAAGATTTGAATAAAGGACATGCAACAGTGGAGGTAGAAAACATCAAATTGACAAATGGGTCAGACAACCACTCTGACAGGAACAGTGTTTTAGCCTCAGACCTTCAACCTCCGCCTGCCTCTCTTCTGCAGTATACACACACACACACACATATACACACACTCACACGGACACAGCAGAACACACACAGGCAGTGTAGTTAACAAGGATACTGCAGGTCATTGACGTCCCGCATGAGGCTCATGTTGTCTGCTAATTGACTTCATTAAATAGCCATTAATCCACTGCTCCGTGTGGAAGGAAAATGAGCAAAATAAGACTTTAGAGACAAGTTCACCCAAAGTCGTTTTGTGTGGGATGCATAATGCGTAAAACTACCCATTGTTGTTTGTTTCGTTTTTCACATGCTCCATCTTAATAAAATGAGTGGTGTTAATAGCTGCACTTTTGTTCATTTGTATTTTATCACCCAAACGTTGATCTGCGAGCCAGACAAGCCAAACCTCAACAATTTTTCAATAATTGTTTCCCAATAATTGAGGTCAACCAATCACAGCAACAAATACATACCTGATATGTTACCGATATGATTTACAGAATTAATTTTGGAAAATGACTCTTGCCCTTTTGATTGCGCAAATTTGCAAGCGCAATGCTGCTCTGTGATTTGTTTGGTTGATTATTTAAAGGCAGGAGCTGCTCAAGAAGATGATCAAGCAGAATGTCAATCTCATTCTCATAAAAATTACTATAAGGTTATTGATTAGCACATTTAGTTAACCTGAAAAAGGCATTTTCTGCACCATTGGCATCAATATTAAATATAATCTCCATAGTCATTTTATCTCACCTCAAAATAGTCATTTCCATGTCTGTTTGTTTTTTGCATCAATGGTGGCTCTAGGTATATGGGCATGTCCAGTATGTTACTGTGATACCCCTGTTGGCAGCTTCCACCTGATCAGCAGGAACATATCCAGTATGTTTTAAATGCTCACTTTAACAGTGATAACCTGAAGCACAATAACATTTATAAATACAAACTGTGTGTTCACTCATCGTCGTATTGTTTAATGTTAAGGATCACCCTCCCTATACAGGGAGGATTAATTTATTCATGTATCTATTTATTTATTTTCATTTAAATATTCAGATAGATTCAAATATGTTTAATTTAACAGCATCAGTATTAGAATTCACTTGTGTGTGTTACCTTTTACATGAGGCATCATAACACAACATCAGACACAAGATGTCCACACAATAAGCATTTCCATTTGGGTATCATAATTCGAGAAGAAACAGGCGTAATTAGGTGATCCTTAAAGAGTTAATTTGTTGTGTTCATTTCAGAGGAACCAAAAAAAGAGGTCGAGGAGGAAGAGGAGGCTCTGGCAGAGATGGATGAAGAGGAGAGGCGCATTGCAGAGATGGGGCGTCCCATGCTGGGAGACCACGTCAAACTGGAGGTCATCATTGAGGAGTCTTATGAGTTCAAGGTAAGAATCACTGCCTCCATATGGTGCTGTTGACTAGAATTTCGCTTCATTGATAGCTAATAACCAAGTTTAGTGAACAAGCGCCTGATGATTTTGCGATTTAAACATTTTCACTTGAGAAAAAGTAGTTGGAGAAGAACAACAGCTCACACCACATGTCAGCGAGGTTAGACCTGTGTGGGTTAGAAAATGAGGGTCAGATAGTCACCACTCTAAAAACAGCACTGTGAACTGTAATGCACAGTTATCAATCTGAAATGACTCTGACTGAAAGGGATTCAAAAACACAGAGGATCACAGCAGCTGAACTAGCAGAGGAATAACACTTTTGATCGATCCAGTTAAGTGAAAAGAACAAAAATCTCTCTTGTCCACAAATGGACAAAGCACCTTGGGAGGATGTTCTTTCAGATATCTACACTTATCATGGTTCAGGTAACAGAAGCGAGATGTATTCTCAAGAGTTTGTCAAAAAGTCCATACTGTAGATGATTTATGGATGAGTCAGTTGACAGAACTTTTATTGTAGAATCCCTTTAGAAGCATAACGTTTCTCTCTTTTCACAAGAAGTCGTTCAAGTCAGAAAGTGTCTTTAACCATCCCACCTGCACCATCAAACTGCTATGAGCTCCACAGAGAGTTTGTGATGTAAAACTATGCAGCAGATTTTCTGTATTTATGTAGGCAGCCAATATGTCCTTTTCTTTGTCTTCTTCTCATAGACAGACAGACAGTTATTAGCAGCTCACCACTTGACAAGGCTGCTATACTTTGACAAGTGGTTTTGTACATTAGAGTGAGTGTATGTGCGATGCTATAGTTATGTGAAGTGCAGTTCATTTGGCAGGTGGAGCAGATCTGCGGAGCAAGTGGCTGACATAACAGACCTTCAGGATCAAGTAGAAAAGCTTGAAGTTTCCATGGTGATTTATTAGTGAAGGGAGAATCTAAAGTGCAGTTATAAACTTTGGAAAAAGCATGCTTTCAAATTGTTTTTAGAGCAAACATATTTTTCATCCATTACAGATTTAGAAAGACTTCATACTCTGAGTTTGCATCTCGTTAAAGATTTTATAGAGCAAATCAACAGAAATTATTGATTTAGCTTCATGAACATTTTATTTGCACAAGCTACTTTATCTGAATAATAGCTAGAGTCATTCAATGGATGTTAGAGTTTGTGTCTGTAACCATGACAACTGGAAAATGCAAACAGCGACTTGATAGGGAGCTAAATTTACCAGAATCTGAAATTATAAGTAACCCACCGAGTGTGCAAAAACAATCAATCAGCAGAGGTAACAAACAGTTTCCAAGCAACGGCATGTCAAAGCCAGGTCCCCTCTGGTCCATACAATTTCAACCTCTCATATGAAATAAAATGACTTTTACATTTTCAGACTTAATGTGTAGGACACATGCAGCGAGTTGGAACAGAGACGAGCTACGGTTGAGAATCCATACCCCAGCTCTTTGTGGTAACGATGGCAGCAGACGCAAAATAATAGAACTGACATTCTGAAAGAAAGTCTTGATAAAATACACTCAGACCAAACTCTCTTTCATTAAATCTTACATAACATGTAGAAAAAAAGTTCAACAGACAACAGTTTACCTGCTTGTCTCACGGAAATGCAAATTCAGTATTCTATTCTATCCTCTGTAATAAATTTCAGTTATTTGTCAAAAAAAGATTGAATGAATTTGAGCTGTCAATTACTTGTTTCCAAGGATTTTACAGGGCTGTAAAACTTTCATCTGGGAGGACCCTCACATTAAAAGCACAAAATCAGATTTTTATTTTTATTTTATTTTTTTCACAAGGACAATTTATTGAAAGATGTTTGGTCATGATAGAACAACATCCTTACTTTCACCAGGACACTCCCACAATCTGACCCTGTATGGGGAGTAGTGTACAGTGAGGATATTGTCGGGCGGTGGAAGGAATACATCAAGGTTCTCCTCAATCCCGGAGGCAGAGGCTGAGGATGTTGGGCGGGTAGTCCCATCTCCCTGGCTGAGGTCACCAAGGTGGTTGGCAGCCTTCTTGGGATCCGTCCTGACTATCTTAAGTCTCTGGATGTTGTGGGACTGTCTTGGCTGACACGTCTCTGCAACATCGCGTGGCGATCGGGGGCGGTGCCAATGGAGTGGCAGACCGGGGTGGTGGTCCCTCTCTACAAGAAGGGGGACCGGAGGGTGTGTTCCAGTTATCGTGGGATCACACTCCTCAGCCTCCCGGTAAGGTCTACTCCGAGGTACTGGAAAGGAGACTTCGACCTATGGTGGAATCTTGGATTCAGGAGGAGCAGTGTGGTTTTCATCCCGGTTGCGGAACACTGGACCAGCTCTATACTCTCCATCGGATACTCGAGGGTTCATGGGAGTTCGCCCAACCTGTCCACATGTGCTCTGTGGATTTGGAGAAGGCATCCGACCGTGTTTCCCGGGGTGTCCTTTGTGGGGTTCTCCGGGGTCCTCTGCTGAGGGCCGTCCGGTCCCTGTATGACCGGAGTCAGAGCTGCGTTCACATTGCCGGCAGTAAGTCAGACCTGTTCCCGGTGCATGTTGGCCTGCCCTTTGTCACCGGTTCTGTTCACTGTGTTTATGGACAGAATTTCTAGGCGCAGCCAGGGGCTGGAGGGGGTCCGGTTCGGGGACCAAGGGATTTTGTCTCTGCTATTTGCAGACGATGTTGTCCTGCTGGCCCCAACGAAACAGGACCTGCAACATGCACTGGGATGGTTTGCAGCCGAGTGTGAAGCGGCTGGGATGAGAATCAGCACCTCCAAATCCGAGGCCATGGTGCTCGATCGAAAAAAGGTGTTTTGCCCTCTCCAGGTGGGTGGAGAGGTCCTTCCTCAAGTGGAGGAGTTGAAGTATTTCGGGATCTTGTTCACGAGTGCGGGAAGGATGGAGCGTGAGATTGACAGGCGGATCGGTGCAGCCTTCTTCTGCTCACTCTCTTCTCTTAGAAAAGTTTGCTTTTATTACTGTAGAAATTATTGCTTTATTATTACCCAGGGTTTTTGTATTTGCTCAATGAGACTGTAGCATAATATACATTTGAGATCGTCAAACAAATATGTTGTATGTAGTTTTTAAATGCTGGTCCCTTTCTCACATTGTCGCTCTTTAACCAGACGACATCAAAGCGCTCTTCCTATATCTGACAGTGCTTCAGTAGCCATTTCTAACCAGTTGAAAAGAATGACAAATAGAGACATGAAATTAGGAGCGGAGACAAAGACATGCACAATAGACCGTTCTGTGTGGATATGTGTGTGTCTGCAGCAGCTTGAGAGGCACTATTTACACCCCTAAGCACCATTCAACACAATTAGCATCCCAAGTCCCCTCTGAAGTGGAGAGAAAGGGCGACACTGTCCCAGCGCTGGGCTAATTAGAGTGACAAGTTTGTGTGTCTGTATGCACCAACAACTGGGTGTTATCAGTTCCTGTCATAACCTTTTTGAAGATGAGCATAGAGCAGAAAGGGACGAGGAAGAAAGGATGGACAGACTGACAGGGGAAGAGGATAGGAAACAGGAAAGGAAGACATTCGTAATGAGGAGGCTGGAAGGCAACATGTTTTGGAAGTATGTGTTCATCATGCATCATTATATTGCAGAGATGTTATTAGACAATTCACAAAACATGAGGAGAAACATTAAATCACTCAATGCATTAAAATCCTAAATAATCACAGTGCATTAAAATACAAATCATGTAGTTTTATGCACAGCTAACCAGAGCTGTTTTAACCTGGATTTGAACATTGTCAGAGTATTTTTCCAGGACCAAACATGCTCTCCATCTTTAAACCTGACTCTGGGCACCAGCAGGAGGCCAGTCCCTGTGCTCCTCAGAGTCCCAGTTGGTTCATATGGCACTAACATGTCACAGATGTACTTTGGCCATGGAGAGACTACACAATCAGAGCGGCTTTGAAGTCTATTGTCTGAGCCAGGGCAGAGACCTGAGAACTGGACTAATGTGGTCATACTTCCAGGTTTATTTCAGGATTCGAGCTGGAGAATTTTGAGTATACTGCAGCTGTGTTACAGCATAACAAATCTTAAAAAGTTTAATTTCCTTAAATATGCAACAAAATTGTGTCATGGACACACAATGATGGATAATAAACAATAAAATACAAATCTATTTATTTTTGTATCACCCAAAATCATAACAGCAGTCATCTCGAGGAACGTCACAGAATTGAGAGAGGGATCCTCTCCGTGGACGAACAGGCTGTAGCTCCAGGACTGAGTTCAAGTCTAAAGCCTAGTGTATAGTCGCGCAGCACAGAGCTTACGGTGGTGACGTGACGTCACATTTAGTACATGTGTTTCTTGCTGTTTGTAAGTGGATAGAAAAGTTGGCCACAATTTAGGGTAATCTCCTAAGTAATGAACTTGGGGGCACTCGTCTTATGTAGATGTCTTAATGGTTTATTTATGCAGAGATTATAGTTCTTTCCCTTTTAACCTTGATTCACATTTGAACTTACTCGACTTTATTTTCTGTGTTTAATCTGCCACATCATTACCTACTGCATGATCAGTGTCGTGTACCAGCCCAGTGGTCATCTCCGCCTCGCCAAATGGCTAATTTTACTAATGGCGGGATTTGATTCCCCAAATGTTCTGAAATGGCACTTTTTATGATGTTTTATGGCACGGTGGCTGGACAGAAGGTCTGTTGCCTCATTTAACCGCGTTTCCCCCCTCTCCCTGTCTCTATAATCACAGAACACTGTGGACAAGTTGATCAAGAAGACCAACCTGGCTCTATTGGTGGGCACGAACAGCTGGAGGGACCAATTCATCGAAGCCATCACTGTGAGCGCCGGTAAGTCACTTTACTAGTCCCAGACCTCTGGTCCCATCTATTTGGATGCATAAAAATGTGTGCACAGATGCACTTTAACTGTCTGCTACCTCCCACCCAACACAATGGATCAATAGATGTAAAAAGTGTCATCAAAACAAGGGAACTGTGACAGTTTTATCTCATTTATGTCAAAGTTTAACCCTTTAATGTTCATTCCTTGAAGAAAGCAATGTAAACGTTAATCATTAATTTATCTGTTTTTTTAACCCCTGTTTTTTTAATGAAAGGCCTTTACCAATTGATTGATATGCAGTTTGATGGTAAAAGTGCCTAAAACCAAGTGATAGAAATGCAACAACGAAGCAGATTTCAAGTGATCCACCAAATAGTTGAGAAAACTATAAAAGAGTTAAGGAAAACATTGAAAAGTTGTTGCCACGTTGTCTCCATGGACTCTCTGAACTCCTCCCAGTCCCAGATATTTGTTTCTGTAACAAACTGGGCAGCAGCAGACGTCTCCGCTGCCCAGGTTGTCAAGCCATGATGGAGTCCAAGATCCATCATGGCTTGATAAGACTCCTTTTTCAGCCTGACTGTATTCCTTACCACCGGTGTCCACAATCGAGACCAGCCGCAGAGCACACTGTTGGAGCTGTTGCATCGTAATAGAGGACGAGAACATGGTCCACTCAGAATCAATGTGCTCCTGCTCCACACCCTCATGACGCGCTTGGGTCTGCCAGGTCTGACTGGCTTCCTCCCCTGCCAGACGATCCTGCTCGCAACCAGGTGGTGATCAGTTGACAACTCCACATCTCTTTTCACCCGGACGAGACACTAAGCCGAAGGTCAGATGAGACGGAGGCCGCTGTCTTGGTGCCACGCGCACTGGTGGACACCCTTGCTCTCGAGCGCCAACCCCAGGCCTGGCTCCAGGGGGCACCATACCAGGGGATGTCACAGTCCTTGATTTATTTCTATTACAGGGTGTACCATAGCATACATAGGTTGAGTACCTTGTACAGTATATGTCCATATACTATACATTTCTAATATAAGTTTGCCTTTTCCCTGTGCACTCTCATGCATCACTGCTCCTTGTTCCATTCTACTCTGATTAATGTGTTTACATGCAGCTCAACCACATTAGAATCGGCTTGCACCAGCCCCTTGGAATGAACTGGTTTTTGGCAAATTTTGACATGTGTCTTCATCAATGGAATTAGTTTTGAGAAGGTGGAGAATTCCATAGTCCTTCATGTTGAGCTCTATGAGCTCAACAGCTCATAGTGTTTAGAATTCTTCACTTATGAACATGTCACACGCCCTATGCTTCTCTGCAGATTCAGCCATGATATAATTCTGAGAAAAAGGAGCTCCGTTGTGCTCCAGAAGTGGGGTCCTGACTCCTGGAGACCTGTTTACGCCATGAGAACGCACAATGCCGTCGCTGTCATATGGCTGCAGGATTATTCCATGTCATAATGTTAATGCACCGTGAAATCCTCGATGGGAAATCACGCAAACACGAGATAGAGTAACCTGATGTGAGCGGTGTCATGCGAAGGGGAAAATCAGGACACCTAAAGCACAGTGAAGAAAAAGAAAAAAGCACCTTATGAATATATAATGCTGTCATCAAACCATCATAAACAAAGAGCATCATTTCAAGAAAAGTGATTATAACATGCACGGATCAGGCCTCACAACGACCTGACTCATGCAGAGGGGATTCCCACGGATTACATGTTGGAGCCTGACCCTTGTTTATTGGACACGTTTTATACAACACTGACTTTTTGCCGCTTTTAACTAAATCATTCATACGTACAATTCTACATGTTTTTAGAATTGAAGGTGTAAAAGAATCTCAGTGAGGAGGGGAGAGTGTTCTAGCCTGTAGGAACGTTGTTAAACACAGCTCTTTCCAATTTCTTTGTTTGGAACAGAGAAGAAAGGATGCTGAGAATGTGGTACTTCAATAAGGCCTCTTATTTAGGCAGCTATGCGTCATTATTAGCACATTATAAATAAAAGCCTAATATTGTCTTTTGCCGTTTTGTCAGCCAGTTTGTCATAGAAGATACCTGTGTCACAAATAGCTATTTCAAGATACATTTGGAGTTTGGCCGAGTGATTTGAGAGCAGTAGCATTAGCAACATGATGAACAATATCTGTTTAACCAATTAAAGGCAGTTGTATTTGTTTTTCTGTATGTTTCCTATTATACAGTTATAGAGCAATATCATCACTTTCCTGCAATGGTCAAATAAGACATGTTTAGCCTATGTTGTCGGAATAGCCTGGTTATTTTAATACGTGTAATTGTGTGCGTCCAGTTCCATATTGTCCAGTCCCAGAGAGCACTGAGCCTCTGTCCGAGTACTCAGCCGTCTGCACCATTTTCTGTCAATCCTCCTCCTATCTTTTCACCACATTTCCAGTTCTCTCTAAAACTGCAATAAATACCGCAAATAGAAGCGGAATTCCTGGGAGAAATTGGGAGAATAATAAAGCAAGTTACAAGACATAAGAAATGCTGGGTTTTTTTTTTTCCATCTGCAGAATCTACACAGTTGAATGGTTCTCGATGGGAACTTTCTCTCTTGAGGCCGAACAGCAGAACTGTAGCCTGTGTACAAGTGAGACTAAGCTTTTCAGCTTTGAAGACAAGTGTGTAAACAAGTGTCTGAAGCAGTGCCTGTTGTTGGAATGATTAAGCAATTGTAGCAGATCAATCATAAATTCAAAGGGGAATTATGTGGGATTTAATAATATTTTGAACAACACTCCCTCTGTTCACGACTTTGAGGGAGGTTTCTCTCCCAGTACAGGTTTTTAATCTTTAGTTTTGACAGTAACTCATGGTAACTAAAGGAATTATTTTAGAAATAAATATATTTCACTATGCACCTTTAAGATAATTCCTTGCTAAAATGATTGTTTGTGCCGCTACCAAGCACAATCAAATTAGGGTTTCCATTCACTAAACTGTATTGTTTTTTGTTTTTTAAATATTATGCATTAAAAAAAATCCAGATCTGTAAATGACGTAGTATGGTCAAAGCTTTTTTTTTTTTTTTTATCAATTACTTTCTCCTTTAAAACAGCAGAACAAATCCAGTAAACGTTCTTTTCTGTAATTGCCATTTCAAGACTCCATTATCTATGTGAAGAAACCATCCCAATTTGCTGCAGTGAACTGGACTGCTGTTGGCGCATTGTTGTCTGCAGCCCATTCAATCACTTTAGAGTCTACAAATAACTTTATCCTGGCGCTGGTGTGTGGGGGTGTACACTGTGTCGTTTGCCCGCGCTTCCGTTAGCCTGCGCCTGTCAGCCCGCCTTTGTTGTCCAAGCTGATGTCATTAATGAAAAGGCTTGTCTCTGCTCTCTTATCTGGGATTAGCTTGTCGCGGCTGACGGAGTAGAGCTTCCTGTACCCACTTTTTAGGGGAGGATGGACATGTGAGCAGCGCGTCTGTTTGAGGGTGTGGAGAGATGCGCTGAATCTCACTAAAGTAACGTAAACGTAACGTGTTTGCTTAAAAACAGGTCATACATCGTGTTTCAATCTGAAGAGGCTCAACAGCATCTGAAAATAAATTACATCTGTTAGTGTTTAGATTTACACATACGACTCTGCAGACATTGTATGTATGATATTTATAATTGATATTTGAAATGTAGTTATTTCTCCAAAAGGGGTAATCAAAATAGAGATAATGAAATGAATCCCACGTGGTTTAAAAATTGGTGGTGGTAGCTCAGGGGAAGGGCCAAAGAGCTGGTCAGGGCCAAAATGGGGAGGAGGGGGGTTGATGCACGATATGATAGCTTGATGTCAATGGTGGGCAGTGTGTAAATGCAGCCAGGTGAAAGATGATTGACAGCGCAGAGCCGCCAGCTGAGTGTGACTGACTGCTGTTGCGGCACTAAAGCAGTGGGAGGACAGCAGGTAGTTTCCAGTCTTCAGCCTGAACATCGGCCTGTCATGATAAATATTATATTGACTCATTGTTCAATAGCTGATAGATGAAACTACATGATTTGGGTTAAATATTTATTGTCTGTACATTATATTTATTAGCTGTAGAAGATTCATTATTGACAAATAGGATGTATTACTACTACCGTTCCTGTTTCTTGTATTTTTACTAGTTTCAATATTACTGTTTATCATAATCTAAATTTTGTATCGTGACAGACCATGAAACATCTTGAATGTAATAATGTATGTTTTTTGGATTGTTCTTATTCTAAACTTTATAAACCAAACACACAATTACATTTGATACATTTTCAGTATGAGATTTGCAAAAAATGAGGCGAGTTCTATTGCCTGACTCCTGTTGAAAGTGCGTTTTTTACTCTACTAAAGGAAACATAATTAGCAGAGATGGATTAATGATGTAGCTCTATGTTCTTGGTTTAATTTAGTTGACTTTGCTCCAACATTTTTACCAGGACTGTGATAATCAGCTGCAGCCCCCATGGCGGAGGGCTGTCCCAGTGTGCAGCACATGGATCAGACTCAGCATGTTTTAACTGCCTATTTGAACCACGTGCTGTTTCTGCTTCTGGCTCTGGGTATTTGCCAAAATAAGAGCCGATCAGTCTTTTCAGGGTTAGCAAATTGAAATGTGCACAAAGAAAGTCCTTCCTTTACTTTGAAATTAACCTTACTAGGGACTAAATGGCTTGTGGCGTGAATGAAAACTAAAACACTAAACTTCCGTCAGTGGTAAATGTGTTTTTCATGAGAAATAACGTTTTTTTTTTAAATTTGTTTATCTTCCTCCAGAGAAATAAAGTGCATTTATGAGTCTGCCCAAAGTGCTTTCCATATTGATTTCAGCACCATTGTGGTAGAATGTGATTGTTGCCTTGAGAGCGTCTTCACCATGTGTCAGTCAAAATAAGTGAGCTGTCGATGTGAACATGACGTGCCCACATAATACTGACAAATGCTCTCGGCCTTTTACGGAGGCAGCTCTCTGATAGTTCCATAAGTTAC